ATGCACCGCGTCCACAGCCAGGAGAACGACCACGTGACATCGCGGACTACCTGACAGGAACTCGGTGGACACCACGAAGCCCTTCGCGTTCGCCGTCGTCCAGCCGCCGCACGTCACCGAACCACCGGCAGTACTTTGGCCCAACGCGGGGCCGGTCTCCTAGCCCGTATCCGGGAAACTAAGGGCAGCAACCGGTGGAGGTGCGGTTGCTGTGCGACGAACTACCGAAGATCCTCCGACGATGACGACGCTGCGACGGAGCTTTCCGAACACAACGCCAACCAGGCAAAGCCCTGACGGCAAAAGCTCACTTACCGAAGGTGGCCTGACGACGCAACATGGAAGCAGCGAAACAAGCCGACGCAGCCGTGACCCGACGCCACGCCCTTACTGTAATGCGAGACGGCGAACTAGCGACCTTGACGTTCTTATTGACGGCCACAGTGTGACCGCTGTCGTCGATACTGGAGCCGACTATTCTGTCATCAGTGGGTCGTTCGCCGCGAAGCTAAAGAAAGTTAGGACAGGTTGGAAAGGCCCTGAAATCCGCACAGCCGGAGGTCATCTCGTAACGCCTGCAGGAATCTGCACAGCGAGAGTCACCATTAACGGCCGTATTTATCCTACAGACTTCGTAGTCCTACAGCGTTGCTCGAGGGATGTCATCCTTGGCATGGACTTCTTATGCCTCCATGGTGCAGTCATCAACCTAAAAACAAAGTCGATAACGTTATCCACAGGAGAAGCACTACTGCCGCGCACGCCATCAGGACATCATGCCTTGAATGTGCTGGAAGAACAAGTCACCATTCCGCCTCGCTCAAGCGTCATTATTTCAGTCGGCGCTCCTAAATCACCTGACTTCGAAGGCGTCATTGAAAGCAGTCAGCATCTGTTGGTCACCCGAAATATTTGCGTCGCAAGAGGAATTGCAGAGCTGCGGGGAGGCAAAGCAACGGTTATGCTCACAAATTTCAGCAATGAGTGCAAACATGTGAACAAAGGAGCAACGGTCGCATACATCGAAGAAATTGTCGAAGCCACCAGTGCTTTCGCCATGGCCGATTCTGCGGAACCTGCTCAGAGGAACCAAGCCCCTCCCACAGCTTTCGACATCAATCCCAGACATCCGAACGATAAGCAAGAACAGCTCAAGGCCCTGCTCCTACAATACGAAGATTGCTTCTCGTCGTCATCGAAAATTCGGCAGACCCCAATCACGAAACATCGCATCATAACCGAAGAAAATGCCAGACCGCTCCGTCAGAGTCCGTACAGGGTTTCGACGCGAGAACGTGAGGCCATGAAGAGACAAGTTGATGAAATGCTGCGGGATGACATTATCCAGCCGTCCAAGAGTCCATGGGCATACCCCGTGGTGTTAGTGAAGAAGAAGGATGGGACCCTACGTTTCTGCGTCGATTATCGCCGCCTGAACAAAATCACAAGAAAGGACGTGTATCCTCTCCCACGAATAGACGACGCACTTTATCGGCTCCATAACGCCAAGTACTTTTCGTCAATGGACCTCAAGACTGGCTATTGGCAAATCGAAGTCGATGAAAGAGACCGAGAGAAGACGGCGTTTATAACACCAGACGGCCTCTTCGTGTTTAAGGTGATGCCCTTCGGCCTTTGCTTAGCGCCTGCAACTTTTCAACGCGTTATGGATACAGTACTGGCAGGATTGAAGTGGAAGACTTGCCTTGTGTACTTGGACGACGTCGTCGTGTTTTTCTCGAGTTTCAACGAGCATCTTCGGCGCCTTGAAGCTGTACTTCAAGCCATCAAGACTTCCGGACTTACACTGAAGCGAGAAAAGTGCAAATTTGCGTATGAGGAGCTCTTGTTTCTGGGGCACGTTATCAGCAAGTCTGGAGTTCGTCCCGATCCACGGAAAACAGCCGCCATCGCCGACTTTCCGCCGCCCACTGACAAGAAAGCCGTGCGCCGATTTCTGGGCCTGTGCGCCTATCATAGGCGCTTCGTGAAAAACTTCGCCCGCATCGCCGATCCTCTTACTAACCTTACCAAGGCCGACGTGGAGTTCAAGTGGGAAACGCCACAGGAACACGCTTTCCAGGAGCTTAAACATCGCCTCCAGACGCCTCCGTTACTTGCCCATTTCGACGAATTCGCCGAGACATAAATACATACTGACGCAAGCAGCGTAGGTCTTGGCGCCGTTCTTGTGCAGAAGGCTGACGGACTTGAAAGGGTTATTAGTTACGCCAGCCGATCGCTATCCAAAGCAGAAGCAAACTATTCCACAACAGAAAAGGAGTGCCTCGCCATCATCTGGGCTACGTAGAAATTTCGCCCCTACCTCTACGGCAGGCCCTTCAAAGTTGTGAGCGACCACCACGCCTTGTGTTGGCTAGCCACCTTGAAGGACCCTTCAGGTCGCCTCGCACGATGAAGCCTGAGACTTCAAGAATATGAAATTACTGTCATTTACAAGTCCGACAAAAAAACACTCCGACGCCGACTGTCTCTCTCGTGCGCCTGTCGACCAACCGCTACCCGACGACCCGGATGACGACTACTTCTTGGGAACGATAACTACCGACGACTTCACTGAACGACAGCGGGCCGACCCGGAACTTAAGGCCCTAATAGAATACCTCGAAGGCAGGACCGCTGAAGTCCCGAAGGTATTCAAGCGCGCACTTGCGTCGTTCTTTCTACGAAACGGTCTTCTACAAAAGAAAAACTCCTCACCGCTTCGAGCTAAGTACCTCCTTGTGGTGCCTTCAGCTCTGCGACCAGAACTCCTGCAGGCCCTGCACGACGATCCGACGGCAGGGCACTTCAGTGTTTCTGGCATGCTCGCGAGGATACAAGAAAGGTACTACTGGCCACGTGTTACCACCGACGTCACTCGTTATGTGAGGACATGCCGGGACTGTCAGCGACGCAAGACACCGCCGACAAGGCCAGCGGGACTTCTGCAGCCAATTAATCCACCTTGCCGACCTTTCCAGCAGATTGGTATGGACCTACTGGGTCCTACGTCACGGCGCCCCGGAGGACCTTATCACCGACAGAGGAACGGCATTCACTGCCGACTTAACTCAAGCGATCTTGGCATACAGCCAAACAAACCACCGCCGGACGACAGCGTACCACCCACAGACCAACGACCTCACCGAGCGGCTTAACAAGACGATCGCCGACATGCTGTCAATGTACGTCGATGTCGAACACAAGACGTGGGACGCCATTCTTCCGTATGTGACCTTCGCATACGGGGCCGTTCCCGACGTCGGCTTTCGGAAACAAGTGGATCGTGGTAGCTACCGACTACCTCATCCCGCTACGCCGAGACAAAAGCCCTGCCAAAAGGCAGTGCATCCGAGGTAGCTAAGTTCTTCGTCGAAAATATCGTCCTACGTCACGGCGCCCCGGAGGACCTTATCACCGACAGAGGAACGGCATTCACTGCCGACTTAACTCAAGCGATCTTGGCATACAGCCAAACAAACCACCGCCGGACGACAGCGTACCACCCACAGACCAACGACCTCACCGAGCGGCTTAACAAGACGATCGCCGACATGCTGTCAATGTACGTCGATGTCGAACACAAGACGTGGGACGCCATTCTTCCGTATGTGACCTTCGCATACAACACGGCGGTGCAGGAGACGACGCAGATATCTCCATACAAATTGGTCTACGGAAGGAGCCCGGCAACGACGCTCGATGCCATGTTACCCAACGTCACCGACGAAGACAACCTCGATGTGAGCGAGTACCTTCACCGCGCCGAAGAAGCCCAACAACTTGCGCGTCTCCGTATCAAGAATCGACAGACGACCGACAGCCACCGTTACAACCTTCGACGACGCTTCGTGGAATACCAGCCTGGTGAACGTGTTTGGGTGTGGACGCCGATACGCTGACGTGGACTAAGTGAAAAGGTTCTGCGACGGTACTCCGGACCGTACAGGGTGGTTCGACGTCTCGGCCCACTTGATTACGTGGTTGTCTCCGACGGCATCACGAACTCTCAACGACGCCGATCGCGACCTGAAGTCGTCCATGTCGCGCGCCTCAAGCCGTTTCATGCGCGTTAACAAACTGAAACAGTAATTTTTTGTATTATTGTTTTATCGTAATTTATTCATTGTACTTTCTTGCATTATTATTGTACCTTCATCTTTAGTTAAAGCATCTAGACGATGGCTTTTTTCAGAGGGGGGCAATGCCACGTTCCATTTCCCAAGTTTTTGTTATCGTCCCAAAACACCACACGATTCTCAGCGCAAACCGCGCCTGCAGTTTTCGGGAAGGTTCCGAACTGTAGTAGATCATTTCGATAAGATCACGCCCACTATGCGAGCGGTACAGATTGTTCTGGAACCTACGCCACCGCCAGCGATAACGCTAGAACATTCGACGGCAAGAGTATAAATGCCGACGCGCTTCGCCGCTTGTCAGTTGTTGATCGAAGGTCGATGCTCCGTTCGCCGCTATCAGTCCGAGACTGCTATCTCTGCGAGACTGCTGCTGCAATTGGACTTTCCGTTTACCGGGCACAGGTTCGCCCAAATACTCGGCTGCTGACCCGCAGGGCGCGGGTTCGATTGCCGGCTGCGGCGGCTGCATTTCCGATGGAGGCGGAAATGTTGTAGGCCCGTGTGCTCAGATTTAGGTGCACGTTAAAGAACCCCAGGTGGTCTAAATTTCTGGAGCCCTCCACTACGGCGTCTCTCATAATCATATAGTGGTTTTGGGACGTTAAACCCCACATATCAATCAATCAGGTTCACCCAAATAAACAGTTGAATCCCAACACGAAGTCTCCTGTCTTCGGCCACGTCATGACCCCGTGACAATATACTTCCTTCAAGATTCTAAAGACAAAATAGCCTCAATGCGTCCTCGTGATAGAATCAAATATTTTTGCTTTATTTGCATCGGAGGAAACTTTTCCCCTTTTCCTTGCTCAAGTTTCGTTTAATACCGAGTGCGAAAGAGGAGCGCCTGCAGCCTCTACATTATCATTTGAGGTAGAGGTGTGCATCCCTTCTTCGTGCAGCCGAATCCATACTGGCAGTCCATGTCCAATCCACACGGTTTCTGGTAGTGAATAAAGAAGACAATGTATTAGATGATACGCAGATATCTTACAACAAGGAACATTCTATAAAGTTTGCGAAGCCGTATGTGATTCCCTACACACACAAAAATAGAATGTTAAGTTTACGTATACACAACTTCACTTTATTTTTAATCCTATTAGCTTTTCCTGCCATTTAATTATTTATTGTTACTATACTATACTTACTTACTATACTATACTTACTATACTATACTTACTATTCACGTTTTACCAATGTGTTTGAACAGATTTCAAGCTATGCAGTTCTAATTATATTCGGCTTGCAAAATATCTTATGCCTAAAAAATGTACCACCCGTTCTCTGGCTGATCCCCCGCGGTGGGTTGCACTAGGACACAAAAACACAACCAACGAACCAACATTCTATAAAAAAAAAAGGCACTCAATACGGCTTCGAAGCCCTCATCTGACGGTGCACTTTCCGTATTATTAAAAACACAACACAGCAGTGATAACCTTTCTGTTTCTCTTCTGTTTTCTCTTTCTTTTATACTGAACTGTTTTTTTTTCATTATCTCTTCTTCAAAAATCTCACGTGGTCAATCGGCTTGGAATAATTAAGATTTCATGAGTTGGGTATCACATTTTGGGGCATTGTGCACGAACTTTGCGAGCCCAGTTTTACGAAAAAAAATTACAACAGCTTTGCATAGTGTTGCCAGGCTTGAAGAAAGTGAGAAAACGGGCAGTCTTGATGATAATAATGATGATGATGATGCCCTTATTATCGCTGATACCTATTCAGGGCGATTTACCAAGAAGTGATTACGTGAATTATATATGCATATCAAGTAATAAATATTGTTACGTTTACGAGAGGGGTTTATTCAGAGGTGACGTAACAGTTGACTCGAGAGTATACAGTGAACGCGCACCAGAGACTTCTTGCCACCAACCGAACGTCCTCTTCGTCTGGCACCACCCTCTCTCCCGCTACACACAGGCACATACATAAATTGCATATGTGGTAACGATATTGATAAAAAGAAAGAAAAACGTACGTAAAGAGAGAAAGATTGCACTAATTCTTCGTTTTTTAGACAATTCAGATCAGCCACTATAGCCTTTCTTTATTTTTCTTTTGTTTTTTTCTTCCATTATGTCCTTCCTTTTCGTTTTTTTCTTTTCCAAACATTTGTTGTCTTTCTATCTGTATTTTTATTTGATTTCTGTTTTTGCTTCTATTTCTGACTTGCTTCTTATTTTTATTTTTAAATAGTTTTTCCAGTGTTATCGCCAAGTGACGGCGCCGTATTATATGGCATGCGGCAACTTGACGTCATCATCAAGGCACTCGAAGAACAAGAGAAAGAAGACCTCTCTTTGGCGCGAACGCGAGCTTGATATGCCACCGATGGCTATGCTTTTTATGCCATATCAAGCTACAGATGACAGTGCGTGTAACGGTAGACGTTTCAAACTATTCTAGAATATCTACTGGAGGTACAGTTGCTAGAATCCTACTACGCCATAATTCAGGCTTTCACTAATTAGCGAAGAGCCAACTACTTCTTCGTATTGTGCCACGTGCTGTTGCACAGCCGCACACTTTATAATGGGCGGGCAGCTTAAGACCACCAGCTTGTTGCGCGATTTACTTGTTTCCACAACTGGTGTGGTTGTACGATTCTGAAACGCAATATTACACGCGCTAAAAATAGACTCTTGCACAGCTTGATTGGTTGGTCGGCCCTTAGGTGCCTGGCGCAACCGACCACGGGGGATCGGCCATGAAAAGGACGCATGACATTCATATAGTGTTTTTTTTTTCAAAGCAGCTCCCAGCAATGACGTAGTAGCACTGTCGTAAAACACTTTTTGCCATGGTGAGGACCTAGATTCCATGCTCATTTCGGAATGAAAACGTTTATCATTTATTTTATTTGCACCTTCATCAATATTTTGTCAAGGACAAGATAATGATTTTTTTCTCACAACTGTCGAAGCAGTAATTTCTGCGAAACGAGTTCAATAACGCCTCAAAGGTCAACTGCAGCGAAATTTGGCACTCCGGAATAAAGTCACTTAGATGGAGGTAGTGCTGCCTGTCAAATGTCGCCTTCGAAGTGTAAGCGCTTACCTTAGAAAAAATTCTGCAAACAACGGTGTTTATGAGACCAAAACTAGAAAAAACGACTCCATTACGGCTGACCGGATGTGACGTAAACGACAAAAAAATTGTCTGCTCCGCGCTCTTCGAGCACGCACATCGTGGACGCCAAAGAGTTTCCTAATATAAACTAGAGGGCACTAGTGTTTATGGGAGCTGCAACGCACGGCGCGTGAGTGGGCATGGGAATGATGGGTAGTACACACATTTGTTTGATTTTCGTGCTTCTGGCCTGCTTCTGGTTCCGTGCGTGTTCGTGTGGCTTGGAGCTGTTTTTTCATGAAAAAAAAAATTTGCAAATGTTGAACGTTTGCGCTTGACAACCTTATTTTTTTAGGCTTACCATTTCGAATCGGGTCATACAGTTCAAAAGGGCTCGTTCTTTCCTTCAAAACAAAACCGTATCCAGCAATAAACGAAGCCGTAAGTACGATTTGCCACCCGCAAGTACGAAGACTAGGCAAATGTGTGTACTACCCATCATTCCCATGGTCGCTGAACGATCGCAGCGCCAGAGTACCCTCTAGTTGATTTTAGGAAACTCTATGGTAGACGCGCCGCTTTGCATGTGTGTGTGTGTGTGTGTGTGTGTGTGTGTGTGCGCGCGCGCGTGTGTGTGTGTGTGTGTGTGTGTGTGTGTGTGTGTGTGTGTGTGTGTGTGTGTGTGTGTGTGTGTGTGTGTGTGTGTTTCTATGCGTGAACATGCCTCTTATCAAACGCTGCTTCCCACTGGTGGGTTTGCAGTGTCTGACCCCCGTATTCAGAAATGATGCTTGACTTGAAGTTAACTTGCCATCGACTTCAATGCAGCACGAACACGTTTCGAGCACGCTGTCTTTAGGCGGTGCCAAGGCAGCCCAAGAGCACAGAGCGATTCAGCGGCAGGGAGGATTTCTCACAAGGAACTACGCGGCGACGTTCTGTAGTAATCGTCATATCTGGTTCTGTCCGATTAGCCTGGGCACATCCCCAGAGCTCCGCGTCGTCTGGTTGCTGGCAATTAGAGCAGCAATTATAAATTAAATACGCGACTGCAAGAGTTTTCACTGTTGTTATCGTAACTTACCGTATATGTACTACGTATTTATGGCCGTTTCCGCTAAAATAAAATTTCGTTACAGTTGGCCTTTGATTCATTTAATTATCTTGACAGTCGATAATAATACTGTCTAGGGTTTTACTTCTCGAAAACACGATATGTATGCGAGGAACGCGAAGTGGACGGCTCCGAAAATTTAAACCATTCGGTGTTCTTTTAACGTGCAGTCACGTCGCACACTGCACGGGACCCCTGAAATTTCAGACCATGAAGATAGCCCCACCGCGACATAGTATGATAATTAGTTAGCCCATATTGTGAATAATGTTATGCTCCGATATCCCATGTATTCATCATGACTCTTAACTAGAACGAGCACCACATATTTCATTTTACAGTGGAGCCATAATGCATTTCGTTACGGCGTTACGGGAGACTCCATGAGCGAATGGAGTTCCGGCATCAAGACCATTCCGACCTCTTGTGGAAGTAACTACAGTGCGAGATCTCATTCTATAGCTACTGAAAGCTTTGTTCGTGCATTCGGAAGGCTCCAGAGAAGTCTTTAAAATACAGCACTTATAGAAAATTAGCGGACCCTGAAGCTTGGGCTTTAAGAGTTGAATGTGAAAGTATTACCCTGTTCTTAGTGCGTACATCAAACACTTAGTGAATGAGTTCTTTACGACCTTGCTAAGCTTCACTATGTGACCTTAATGTTTCTTGTCCCCTTTCCTAATCCACCAGTGTAGGGTAACCAACCGGACGTCTTTCTGGTTAACCTCCCTGCCTTCTCCATTTTCTTGCTTCCTTTCTTTCTAAAGAAATAGGCGAAGCAGCGTGTGTGCCTTTTGTAGTGGGTGGCCGGCTTTAAGCCACGAAGACATTACGGTAATCACATGTTCTGAAACCCGCTGGCACTGCGTGTTTGTACCACGCATTATTCCTGCAATGTTCCTTGTTGTAATGTAAATCATGTATACAGGAGGCATGTGTTTGTAAACCACGAGTTACATTCACTGTATTTACAAGCAGAAGTTAATTTCACACTATTCACAAGCAGAACAACCACTTGCCACGCAAATGATCCCGGTTCGGTCCCCACACAGACCCAAGCAACCCGGGTTCGACCCCATTATAACTAAACATTTTTCGATCACTTGTTTTATTTGCATCGTTCTCGATGTATCTGCCACGCATAAGATGATGATTTTTCGCTCACAACTAACGATGCCGACGCCGGAATTTCTGCAAAACGAGCTATTTACCAGTGTTGAGTTAATAAAAACTACGAGGTTTAGAACATTCTGAAAATGCGAAGACAAAAGCCTGGCTCGACCAATAGCAATGTGATATGCATTTGTGGGTCCACGCGGGGACATATAGGCACCATGCAAGAGATTTTTCGAAGTGCTCACAAACGCTCACATCTTGTACACACAGATGGCCATATTATTCATGGAAACGTGTCCAAGGTGGTCGAACAATCAGTTTGGCACCGTTGGCGGGGAATGACCTCATTTGCAACCATAAAAAAAGAAAGCTCTATGATTCAGAAGCACTCACCAGAACTCTTCGGCCGAGGAGCGTGGCATAGAAAAAGAAAAAGAGGAAGATAGTGCTTGTTATAAATTTAATACAATTGGCAAATAGGGAACTTCCTGCAGCTAGCTGCATTTCGAAACTTGCCGTAGTAATTTGTGTAAGCGTACAGAAAGCATTACGAATGCAGGAAATAAAGAATGCTAGCATTTTTCTTTTAATATAGTACCACGCCCACATGTTTGAACATCAGAGCGAAAAAATAAGAGAAAAAAATCAAGAGGGATCTACGAAAACAAAAAAAAAAACAGCAGAGAGAAAGGCATAATCAACACACATCAGATCGCTCGTACAGTGTGATCGTAATTGATAACAGCGTAGTTCAGTGGCTAAGGTTTCCAGCAGTCATGCAATAGCGCTCGGGAAGGTCGATGCTTCGATTGCGGCCGCGGCAGGCGCATTTTGATGGTGGCGAAATGTGAGAGGCCCCGATACTGTGCACATGTGAGGTTAGAGCACGTTACGGACCGCTAGATGGTCGAAATTTCTGTTGTGTTTTGTTTTGTCGCCTAAAAGCTCTTGACTTATACCCACCTGGGGCATTGGCCACACTGTACCTCATAAAGTAGATTTGAATACAATAGCACTTAAAAGAGAGAGAGAAATCAGAGAAGCATAAGACGTGACGTATAAAAACAAATGATAAAAACAAAAGCATTTGAAAAGCCAGAGATAGATAGATAGATAGATAGATAGAGAGAGAGAGAGAGAGAGACAGAAGAGGGGAAAATATTCCACTTGCCTGAGTGAATTTATGTAACGAGGACAGAACAGCACCGGGGCCTGTACGTAAGTCACTGACTTCAAATAATAAGAACTTTGATCTTATTAAACTGAAATCCGAGCATACCAATCGGCATTTCAAGAAACATTCGGTGGATTGAGGCCGAATGGCGGCATGAGAGAAGGAAGTGTTCTATTGTTTCCGGTTTATTGTGAACTGCGCGTAAATTAGTTAATGACAGGCCAGATTGCTGAAGAAAATAGTTAGACCGAGGATCTCCACAGCAAAAGCTTGTCAGGGTCGTTTCACGTTGACGGGAAAAGCTTTTAGCGGGGTTCCATGATAAATTTCGGGAGTGCTCTTCTACGGCTTGCCTCGTAATTCTATAGTGGGGTCAAAACACAAAATCCCGCCTGTATTATTGAGTTCCAGCACAGCATTGCTAGAATCATACCTAGTTAGTGTGTGATCATTGATAAACAACAAATAAATAAATAAATACTGCGCGAAGTATGCAGTATGCCAAGTGAAGCTTGGCACAGTGAAGCAAGTTTGACGCTCTAATCCTCTGGCTAAATCTCCAAGTGTCTGAGCCAAGGTGTTTAAGAGTACATACATACATACATACATACATACATACATACATACATACATACATACATACATACATACATACATACATACATACATGCATACATACATACATACATACATACGTACATACATACATACATACATACATACATACATACATACATACATACATACATACATACATACATACATACATACATACATACATACATACATACATACATACATACATACATACATACATACATACATACATACATACATACATACATACATACATACATACATAAATTATGAATGTACGGATGCAATGAGCGTCCCCTTTATAATGGAGCGATGACATGTGTTTCACTAGGCTCGCGAAAAAGTGAATAGAAAACTTTATTTTTATGTTGGCCTAATTTCTTAACTTCGTGTCTCTTCAGACATAATAACCTCATTTTCCCACTACTTCTGTTTTTTATCTCTAGTTTTCTGCCACCAATGTTCTAACCGTCTCTTACTTGCTTCTATCGCGGACGTGTTAAGCTTTCCATGTTCGTCCTTAAAACCCAAAACTTCGTGTAGGCTTGTACCTACGCGTATAGCAGTGTGGATATCACCGCATTAAATCGGAACATATTCCATCATTTTCTTACCTCCCCCACAGCATCTACATCGTTCTTCTTCTTTATTGAATCTCGCTTTATCACTACGCCTTCTGAAGCAACCCGATCTCGCTTCGAGCAGTAAAGCGATTCCCCTTGAATTATTCTACCACGGAGCCACGCCAGGCTCGTAGCTCCTTTGGGAAAAGACCCTATATTCAGACCTAATGTTAGTGAAACGTCGTTTATAGTTGAGATGCTGCCCATATGAATTCATAAACATTACAAGTGTAATCCAATGGTACAGGCGTCACGTCGAGTTAGCGTCAATTGTACTTAAGTGCTATCCTCTGAAGTCGGTTCACGTAACACTATTAAGGGCTTCCATCCTCCTGGTTAGCCTCCTCCTCATCCTCCTCCTTTCCGCTTACCGCTCCCGGTGTTCTTACCCATGATGCTCTTGTCGTCATTATGCAACTGAAAACTGCTTATATAAAACACATGCGACTATTCACCATGCCTATCTGGAATATAATATTTTCACATATTTTAATGTCGTTTCGTAATGTCTCGCCTAAGAAAAAAATTACGCCACAGTCCCCTATCATTCCGCATGGTTCGCATAACATCGTATTCTATAGTACGCGGGATTTTCGAATTTTTTAGGGAAGCAGCAGTGAGTAGTAAACATTTCCCGATTCCGATCGGAGATACCCACTCAGGAGGATAATAGTCATCTGTGATCATCAGTGCTTCCTCGAACTTCATAAAACATCGTTAGGTTCTCTTTGAGAAAAATTAGGTCGCTGACATTTAAACTAAAAGCTTCTCCGCTTCTGCTTACTCATAGACTAGAAGCGGCTGCGGCTCAACACAACTGAGTGAAAAGAAGCAATGTTATTTGTTTTACAATCACGCAGGAGCCTTCTGTTTAACGAAGGACGTTTGATTTGGCTTCTCCGCAAAAAAAAAAAAAAAAGAGGCGGAGTAGTGTACGCTAACCTTTTGAAGCTTAATACGGTAAATCTGGCTTATATTAAGTGCCTGACATGGCCTTTTAGGATGACGCTAGGTCTTTCCTTGGCAGATTGTAATTTACTCGTACACCTTTGAAAATACCTTCTAAAACTAAATTATTTGCGTGCGGCTGTACCGGACATATTACAATTTTATTATGACATCTATTACTTGTGCTTAAACTAATGTGGGGTGATGTTGGTGGTCGTTGTCGTGGGAAACATGTATTTATGAAAGTGTCGTACTGCAAGGGTAGGTAGCGGACTTTAAGGGGCCGCCCCATGAACACTCAGTTGTGGGCCACCACCACCTCCGCATAGTGGTGGTGGGTGGTGGTGGTGGTGGTGGTGATGGTGGAAACATTTATTTATGGAAATGTTGTACGGGGAGAGTGGGGAATGGACTGAAGGGGCCGCCACGTACAAGCACTAGTTTGTGGGTGCGGTAAGCAAATACCTACTGGAACGAAGCTGCCAGTACCAATGGAATGTGCAGCGAACAAAATTTCCACATAGTGACATTTTGATTGACGTGAAGGCACTTACGATTGCTTGTCTCCCGGCCATTCTTCCACGTATTCCCTAGATATACAGACGGGAAAATTAGCGTGGAAGAACAACAACGTGAAAATTTATCTTTACGTTGTCGTGGCAGAACCTATGTTATAGGCTTCAAGCTGAGCGCTCACGATTTGCGACGATCAGACCGGCGTATGCTGGAAATTTACCCACGAACGTGTTAAAGGAACACCCATGACGATGCATCGAAGGAAGCGTGCGTGCGCAGAACAAATGTCCGAGCAGTGGAACGTAAAGCGCGCATATCGCTCCGCTTAAGGAGTCGATTCACTGGAGCGTGAAGATAGCTGATAATAAGCAGCTCTCAGGTAAAAGCGTCTATCCACAAGCTGGTCAGCCTCAATTACGTATGAGACCGTGCCTCTGCTTATGAAGCTTGCGCTGCGCCTCGCGAACTTGGAGATAATGCCCGTACGGTTGCTGCTGTTACCTATAGGTTTGCCAAGCTGGTGCTTTCTTGTTTCGCAAACATCAAGGTGAATATTGGTGGGCCATTGCGGCATGCTGTATCGCCAAATAGAACGAAAACCGTGGTTGATCACTTTATTTAGAAATTGGTATAACACAAAAGTGAAACGTGTCCTAACAGGTGTAGTTGAGCAGTCATTGAGCATTGCCTCACCAAAAGGTTCAAGGAATGAATGCTGCAGTAACAAATTACATTTCCCGGCATGAACGGAAAGCAGCTCGAAGCTGGCGGCGCTCACCTCAAGCAGAAAGCATGCTCGAAATGAGCATACACAGAACAAGCGCGGACAAACAATTAACATAGCTCGGCACTTAAAACAAGCTGCCCAAATAGAAAGAAAGGCGTTTGCAAAGAACGCACAGATATAGATAGAACGAGCGTCAACAATGGTCACAATTCTTCGTGTGTGAGCAAGCAGCACGCTCCTTTCGTAAATGTGGCCGCGGCAGTGAGCGAAGTGACCTTCATGCTCTTTTTAACTACTGTAACTTCAAAGTAAAGTTAGGGTGGAAGGACAAGAGGTACAACGTGCCCGAATCCCGAAATAAGCGCGCACGCGAGAGAGCCACCGAGCTAGAGAATAGCTATACGCACTTTGACCTCGCCATGTGGAGGCGCGCCCGCACAAAGACGCGCCTGGTGGCGTGGCACGACGACCTTCAGAGCGCGCGCGCACGCAACGCGCGCCCGTCGTGCCATCTCACTACGGATGAGGAAATCGCACTGAAGCTACTGATCTCTGAGGACCGCGAGAGATGTATGGCGTATATTAATGGCTTGCCGTTAACACGTTGGAAGAGGGTCGCTGTGTGGCTCAGCGGTTATCGTCACGCGTAGAGGAGGTTGCTGGTTCGAAGCCCCGCTATACGGAACTTTCCCTTCTCGTTCTTTCTTTACAAAGCTATTAGTAAATCTTTTAAAACATCACATCGTGACGTAAATCCGTCACTTAGCCGTGGTGTACCCCGGCAAAAAGACTTTTGTGTTAATGTAGCACACGTAGGTGGGTAGTATATAAGCCTCTCAATAAGAGCTGAGATATTGATTCCTACACTTCAGACACTGCCTTGAGTCTTTGGCCTTTCTTCCGCTTACTCCTTGAAAACAAATCTCCAGCTTGCTATTAGAACACTTATGTAACATCTGTCTTGTATTTTCGGATCGACACTGTTTGACCGACCACTGTGTGAGCGGTAACCGCTTCTTTGTACTTTAGAGGAGCCTAAAAAACAAGTCATTATCGATGTGAAACAACGTATGCTTTTGAGGCTCGTGTAAGTTTACATGTTGAAGCAACTGGTCTCGTTTCAATTCAACCTGTGAGGTATTCAGAAGGCATCTCCTTCATTGCGGCTGTGATCAATAAGGCGGGTATCGTGTAACGAGCCGCCCACGGCTCACGTCAGGGCCACTTCAGGAATTGATTGATATGTAAGGATTAACGTCCCAAAACTACCATTTGATTATGAGAGACGCCGTAGTGGAGGGCTCCGGAAATTTAGACCACCTGGGGTTCTTTGACGTGCACCCAAATCTGAGCACACGGGCCTACAACATTTCCGCCTCCATCGGAAATGCAGCCGCCGCAGCCGGGATTCGAACCCGCGCCCTGCGGGTCAGCAGCCGAGTACCTTAGCCATTAGACCACCGCGGCGGGCGCCACTTCAGGAAGAGACCGCAAATGACATAAAGTAGCAGTGACGTGCTTGGTGCAATGTAGCGCTGTGTGCGGCCTCATAACGAAGCTATATACGCTCGTGAAAAACACGAACAATCGCTTCCACTTCGGCATATTATATATAACTTCGGGTAGAAACGCCTTACTCGTAAAGGCTTACGCGTCTGGCGTGTGTTTTGCTGCAGCTATCAACTTGCCTGGCATGCACTCACTGAGATTTTTTTTTTTGCTTGATGTCAACGCAGACAACCATTGCAGGTATCACGTAGGGCCACCGTGACTCCGCGTGGACGTGTCACGGAAGCCGTGCCCCTAACCGTTGTCTCACAAGAGGGCGTCAAGGTATATCAGGTGGCACAATTTCACTGCCGTACTCACCCGTCAACTGGCCCTAACGCGGTGGTACTCTTCGTTAAAACGTGGCTTTCCAATGTGACGAACACACCGATGATCACTAGCCATGGGCTAAACGTTCTCAACACTGCCTGTAATGACGACAACAAAAGAGAGGCATTAATGAACACGAGCTCATTGCTTTTCCAATGGCAAACGTTAATAAATTGATTCGAGGTGCTCCCAGACAACGAAAAGGTTCAAATACGAGCACAAAAGCACTCGATATCTCCTTTTAATCCCTACTAACTCTGCATATTTAGCTTTAGCAGACCTCCTATTTGCTTTGGGCGGTACTAGCTACTAGTGTCATCCTAGTTTTCGTCTTAGAACTTCCGCTTGTGCACTCACTTCCAGTTTTCAAAATAGTCAGAAAAAGTATTTTCAAAACAATTCACCGAGGAGTATACTCTACTACCTAATTTGAATACCGACCGGAACTTCTTGTTGAGGTAGCGCCAACTGCTTTTGAAGTATTGGCTTTTCACCGTTTGTAATAACTTTAGTATGAAATACTAAAAACGCCGAGCAAAGTAAAATACACGAAATTGGAAAAAAAACGTTTAATATGAGCGCAATACGCCAATTGCGGTCATTGTGATCAAGGCTCCCGTATGGGGAGCCGAAACATGTTTTTTTTATTTTTGTGTATTTTACTTAGGTCGGCGTTTCTAGTATTTCAAACTATTTTTGTTTCCGAACAGACGGAATTCCATCGTACTCTTGACTGTTAGAACTTTTTGCGAATGTGTAAATTCTGGATACACTTGTTCATGTTGATGCTGGTATGTATGTATGCACCTCCTGCTTTGCACCGGCAACTTCGGCCCACAGTATCATAAATTAAGTGAATAACTAACTAACTAACTAACTAACTAACTAACTAACTAACTAAAAGTAATAAGTAAATGGGCGAGAAGCGAAAGTATGTAAACAAAATTTTTTAGTCTGAAATGACGTTATAAGCCTACTTTTTGAGAATGGCCTTGCCTGGGGCAGATGAAAGATGACAGCGATATGAGTTCCTCGTGTGTACTTTGGCTGTGACGTAGAAGTCGTTTACATGTTGTGCCCTCGGAACGTTGGAAGATACGCCTCTCAAGTTATGTTAGCGTCTTCTAATTCACTCTTCGAGATTGAAAATCCTTGAGCACGAACCTGTCGATAACCCAACGTTCAGACAAGTGGTTCTGTCTTTTCTAAGGCAGCAGCTGCCTTTGATGCCTTGTTGTTGAAGTTGCCACATTTTAATTCACCCTCTGCTCTCGAACTACTGCCTTGTTTACAACCTATACACGCATATTTATTGTGGAGTTGAAAATGGTGCCGGTGTTGGGAATTAGCAACGCAAGACACGTTCGCAAGGTGGCAAAGCGAGAATTTACAGTTAGGAAAGTCTGCGTTTTAAGCGGTATTTTACGAAATCCGCAGACTCACGTACGGCTTGCACCAAAAAAGTGCCTTAAATTTTGTTATTTATAAATATACGAGACATAGCTTGCGGTAAGTGTTGTCTCCATAACTGCGACATTTTAGTTCTAGAACAGTCAACTTCTACCCTCAGTGTGTTTGAGGGTAGAAGACACACTGAGGGTAGAACAGTTCAGCTTCTACCCTCAGTGTTCAACTTCTACCCTCACGTTTTTCCCGTTTAAAGCATCTCCGGCGCGTGCACGCGTGTTTGTGTTTTTGTCGCTAAACACAAATGCACGTGGTTGAACACCACGATTAAAATCTAGAGCAACGAAATAAAGTGGCCGATAAAGATCATATTCCAAGACTAAGATACTGTATCCTTTCCTATCTTTGCAATGAGTAACCTATGCGCCAAATCTGCGAAATCGTTTAATAACGTCACGTCATTTCACTTACCGATTTTATCGAAACACTGCGGTTCATGAAAACAAAAGAAGAAAGTTCCTATAACGACTTACGCTGTGCGGATCACCACACATTCATTGAATCTATTCTGCTACAAAGTAGGCTTATATAGTCGAAATTTCTTCGCCATTGTGCGTGGCTTACGCGGGCTTGATGGCTCTTTTTGTGGACGCCAGCTGCGCTTTGAAATAACACATGCTAGGAGTTGTAAAATAAATTCTGCGAATCTCACGTGGTATCGCCCGCAGAGAGTGGTAGGTTTGTCTGTGATACCTTGGCGCACACGAATATCACTGGTTTAACTGTAGGGCGAGCAAGTGTGTTGACATAAAAACCATCCTGAGAGTGCGACTAAACCGGGCACACGAGAAGGAACAGACGATAACAGGCGTCGCCTGTTCCTTCTCGTACCTGCGATACAGGAGTGGTGCAGGCTCTTCTCACGTTCTGTTCCTTCTCGTGTGTCCTGTTTTAGTTGCACTCTCACGATGGTTTCTGTGAAGATCGGAGATTTGCTCGTCGGCATATAACGAAGCGATGTTTTTTCGGGGCGAAGCACTAGACACAGCACAATGTCCCTGC